TATGTTAAAATGGGTTAAATCCAATTGTTAGCCACATCTACAATAGATGCACTGAATCAATGTAATTTACATAAGTGTTGAGGTAATTAGTTTGCATTGATTCAGTAGTTTCCCCAGCTGAAATTAATAACTACATTTAACCCATAATGTAAGTTTTGCAATGGTTCACTTATATATCACGGAGAGCAGAAGCACTATTCTTTTCCATGGTGGGTTAAAGGGCAACCCTCTCATCTAAGATGACATCTGTTCTTTATGGTTCGTACAACTACTTGAAGCATAAATGCATTTATCAACTAAAATTAATTAGGATTTCATTAATTGATTAGATGACAAACATATGTAACCAATGAATGGATAGAACTTTGCAGCCTTTTAAAATACACTATGATTGTATGTTTCCAATGAATCAGAGTGAACAGAGCACTGAATTTTGGAGTGAGTGATTTAAATTATGGATCAACTTTGGATTTAGAAGAGGCCTTTCTCAAGTCTATTTCCTTTCTGTAGAATAGTATTAATAAGCATGGAATATATTTTAAAATATATTTTCTGTAATAGTGATGTGGCTTACACGAAATTTTGGGAAACAAGTGTGCACATAGATAGAGGTCCCATTATAAAATGTACATAAGAGTGTGAAGTGCAAATTGCAGAACTGTCACAAATTAATCTATGTAAAAGAACTGTGCATCTTGTCATGAAACTAATTATAGCAAATTCTAGCTTATTTTGCTTTGTTTCCTGTTACACACTTTCAATTTACTCTGGCTTTTTATCTGTGTTTTTTGTGTCTTGCCCAACGTAAAGAGGAACAGGGTTTCTAAAAAGCCACAGATTGTAATACAATGTATGTTAACTTAGAAAATAGAAAGATTACCATTTATTATTTCAAATACATGGGACAGCGAAACAAGAAAAGAAAATCTTTCATAAAAACTTGTTCTGAATCATACCTCTCTACCTCTGGTATGTTGATTTTTATATAATATCAGCTAATGTATACATCTTTAGGTTCTTGGGATACATTTTGAACTGTTTGGATTTTGGTGCAAGTCTGTGGCCTTTTCCGTGTGCCTTTTGCCGTTAACAGGCTTGTTCAAGCAAATATGCCAAAATACGTTTTGCTCTGTCAATATCTAGTCAGAAAACTCTGCATTGGTAAAAGAGAGAGAGGGGGAGATGAAAACACTAGAAAGAGCGTGGAAATTAGGAGCATGGCAAGCTTTCAATCTATTATATCAGAGCCAAGTTTGCATGGTGAAATGACATACCCTGCCTCTCTATAATTAGCTGCTAAGAAAACACAACTTTTTCAGCTCTGTACAAAAGAACATAAATTGCAACTGTTATGCTTATGGAAAAGCCAGCAGCAAATGTTTGTGCCTGGCGCAACTTTTTAGAATCCTTTTTTTCTTTTTATCATCCCCGCATATTCTCCCCCCCCCCCAAAAAAAAACCCCTGAAAGTTATGTAACAAGGTAATACCAACAATGAGAAACTGCATGATAAAATCCTGCCCAAAAGTGAAAAATGCTAATTTTGTCTCATTTAGCAGCTGGATACAGAAATGCTCATTAGTTTTAAGAGGGTTAATCCTTTTAACTTTTGCATATTGATATGCCAATTATGCCTAATTGTACAAGAGGCATCAGTCAAGGTAATAGTGCATAAACACATGAAAGTTATTAAGTACATCCCAACATGTAATAAAGTAGGTGTTAATTGGTAGCTGAGTTCTGCAGGCTATTGAGGTGGATAATTCATTGAGAGATGGATCACTTGTAATTTCTCTACATAATTCCTTTTGCAGTCTCATGCTGTGATGTTTTCATGCTTGTCAAAAACAACTGCAGCCTAGTGCCTTTTGTTAAACACAGCCAATAAAATATGTTAGGCATCATTAAATATACTTAACTTTTAAACTTTTTCAAAGGTACAGTTCTTACTGACAATACATTATACTATTTCCAAATAAATTACTGTAAACACTCCTTAAGCTTCCTAGCCAAAGAACATATCACTTAGGGGGTTTTCGGGGAGGGGGTTTCCAGGATACTCTGCGCAAATGGCAAGTGGTAATTTCAAATTGGAAAGTCAACACAATGAAACAAATGTTCCAATAGTTACTCAGTCAACATCTGAGGACAGGCTTTTTTTTTCAATCTCAGAATGGCACACAGTTTCTGTATAATCATCAGACAGAATAACAAAAAATACTTATTTACTGAGTCCTGATAAGAAAATTGCTGTATGTTAACTCTGCATTTGAAAATAGGGGTAACGGCAAGGCAAAACCAAAGAATGGTGACAGAACCAATGACACAACAATAGCAATCCAGTTCACAAGAACTATGGCGAGTTTACTTCATCAACTATTCTCTCCTAGAGACAAAGGTTTAAAATTGGTTGATAATTTACTTAGAAAAGCAAATTACTAGTTCTCACAATTCTTAAGAGAGAAACAGAAAGTGTGTGAGAGGTGGGTAGTTCTGTATTGAATATTACAGTATATGTTGGGGCGGGTCTGACATCACCCAGAAAGCAAAGCAGGAGTCCTAAGCAAGTGTTACCTTGCATAAATGATTTTGCAACATCATATGGGCTCAGCTGCAAGTTGCAGCCATTACGGAGGAAAATTAACCATGGGAGGCTCATACCAATCAGTTTACTTAATAACAAGGATGGGCAAAGGGAAAGGGGAGTTACTGTTAACAGTGTACACCTCTAATGTATTAGTGGTTAAATCTTTTCAGAAGAGACCCAAAATAAATAAAGCTACCACCTTTTTGCTTTTTCTACTGCTTTAGGATCACAGCTATTTTAGACCTCAGTTTTTAAAATATTTCCTGTTCTCTCTATAGGAAATTCTACAAAGATTACTAATAAGTTTAATATACTTGAAAAGGCCTTTATGGTTTGTTGCTGTTGTTATGATATAATTTGAGGCTGTATCTTTCAAAAGGAACAACCTATATCTGTAACGCACAAAGTGTAAATCTCAGTACTAAAATTGCATGTACTGGTTCACACTGTACTGGTTTCTGCATGAACTAAATGGCAACAAATTGAGTGATGAATCGGACACGTTCACTTTCTAGTTACTACAAGACAAAGTCACACTAAATGAAAGGATTCCATAATTACCATAATTATATATTCATATCTACTGTTCTTCAAAAATGTTGACTTCTAAATCCATTCAAAAATGATTAAAATTAAACTACTTCCTTAATGTGAGATGCATATGGTTGGTAGTCCTGCATACATGTGTGAGATTATGAGATGGGTCACTATAAAAGCTGCTATTATCGCACAGGGCACATCTACACAAGCCAAATGAGTTGGTTCAGGGGTGAATAACCTCCATGGCAGCCACACAACACACAGGATCAATTCACCATAATGTGGGAGGCCACAATGTGCCAGATGCCATTTTATGCCTGGTGTTCAAAACAGCTTCTTATTCAGGAACCATTCTACTTTCCCTAGGAAGATAGGGGATAGCACCTACCTTGCCCCATTATTCTTCAGATGTTTGTGGTTTCAACTCCCAGAAGCCCTATCCAGCTTGTTCAATGTTCAGGCATTCTGGAAGCTGAAGTCCAAAATACCTGGAGGGCCACTGGGTGTGCAGGCCTGCTCTAGACTCAGATCTGAGTGTGTTTGGATAACAAAAGTTAGAGCATCTATTCCTGGAAATATTGCGACAGTAGCACATTGCTATGCTACATGGATCTACCTCTGGAAAGTCTTTGGAAATGGCATCGTGTTCAAAACAGCCAGATTGCTGGCTGGGATTGGCCACAGAGGATATACAACTACTTGTGGCAACAGCTCCACTGTGGATGTTGATCTGTTTTTGACACAATGTAAACTGCTAGTTATGGCCTATACACCTACATAAGACTTGGATTCAGATTATTTGAAACACCACATGTCTATATATTATCCTATCCAAATTGTAAGATCTTGAAGGAGAGGGTTCATCACAGGGATGTTTGGTGGGGATACAAGAACAAGTCTAACTGTTCTCTTTTGTTTAGACAGGACTTTGGCTGTTAACCCACTTAGCAGAAAAGTAATTTAATGGAGAGTACCGTGCTTTTGTATTTTTTTACTATGATTTACATGCATTTTAAAATTAATATTTTAACTAGATTGTAATATTTTTATTTATGTTGTTTTGTTTCAATATATACATTAACCCAGATGAGATCACATGTTGAGAAAAATAGGATAATAATGTATTTTCTGTAAAGATTGCATTTGAAGAGAGTTTGGAAAATCCCACTAGTATGTATGCAGGCCACGAAGAGTCAGAAGGGACTGAATGAATGAAAAACAAAATGTATGCAGACACTAAGATGTTTAGTCGCATGTCACAATTTTGCGTAGCTAAAGTCTTTGGATGCTTCACTATATCTTCAAAATTGGTGTAGCTCACTATGCTCTGAAACCTCCTTAATCCAGAAGTGCTGACCTGGACATCAAGACATTCATCATATGAAAGAATTCCTGACATAATAAGATGTGAAAAGGAGAGGATGCTGCGCATACCCTTTACCACTGCTAATGTGATATTGTGGAAGCAGTAGGTGTAAGAAAATACATTTTAGCCAAAATGCAAGGCACATGGAGGATATGCACCTTGTAAAATTGTTCTCCTTTAGAATAAGGTGCATGTTATCATGTGTCCCTTGTGGTAAACTATATATTCAAAACTGGCAAATTTTAGAGAAGAAGTGTGGCCATAGGATTAAATCTGTGATGGATTCCTAGAGAAGTAGGGATATTGAGACCTGGACCCAATGAAATTGCCCTCAGAAGTAAGCCTCACTCTTACTATGATATAAGAGAATATAAGATTTTAGTCCTTAAGGAAAGTCGGCTACTCTACCTTGGAACAGCTAATCTAACCCATTTCAGAACCTCTTGAATACAGGATTAATGTAGACACAAGTAAGGGAGAATTAAAATCCTTGTGACACAGTACTTACAGGTTCAATGACTTTCAGATTATCAGACAGTATCATCGATTTACTTTGGCTGTGCCTGTCATGGGGGCTGTTGGCAGTCTTTATCCTCATCGGAACAGCAGCTATGTTTTCGTGGGAAGGATGCAGCTTTCCAGCACCAGGATCAGAAGATGCTAACGGCTGCATGATGAATATGTCAATCTGAAAAATACAATAGTTGGTAACACTATCAGGCATTATTCCCATTTAGTCAATAAGAAAAGAGTACTCAAACCAACTGAGTGTCTTTAGATTTCAGAATACCTTATCAGTAGAATCAATAATTTGGAGCACCTGATTACTCACTGGTTCATCCAAGCTGTCTTAGAGGAGTGCAGTTTACATAAAAGCTTATCCTTATCTCAAAAGCCATTCTTCTCTAGTCTAATCTTTCAGTAACCTTTCTAGTACAGCCAGCTGGCAGGCATTACAGTTTGTCTTTGGTCTTCCCATACTCATATGTGAGAGCGATATCTCAGGCTTGCTCATGTGCTAAATGTGGTTTGACTTCCACTGATTGTGCCAGAAGGACCAGTGGTGGAAGGTATATGCATATCTGTCTCACACAGTTTCCACAATGTAGGTAGTTTGATAAATAGAGAGATGAACAGACAGAGGTAATGTACTTTAGGTAATGCTGGATTTTATGAAATACAAGGCATATATGTAAGAAATGAGAAGTGGTTTAATGGTCACAGTATTAATATTCTTCCTTCCCTCCTTCCCTCCTTCCCTCCTTCCCTCCTTCCCTCCCTCCCTCCTTCCTTCCTTCCTTCCTTCCTTCCTTCCTTCCTTCCTTCCTTCCTTCCTTTTCTTTTACATTTTGTAATTTCACAGCTAAAAATATGAACCCTGTCATCATGTAATGCTACCTTTAAAATTAAGAAGTGTGATTGAAAGCAACTGGTGAGAGTCTATGTACCTACAGTGGAAGCTCTACTTAAGAGCACCCCAACTTAAGAGCATTTTGAGTTAAAAGCTGTTGCTCAGCCCATGTTTCACTTTGACATAAGAGTGGTGGTTTGAGTTAAAAGCTAGTGCGAGAGTGTGCCTCTCCACCTCTTCTCTTGTGTTCTTGTCCACTTTGGGAGATTGCTATCTGCTTTGCTCTTGTCCTTTTTGGGAGATCACTGTCCACTTTACTCTTGTCCACTGTGAGGAACTTCAGGTTGGTTTATTTTTTGTGGTTTTTATTCCCAGTATGTTTGGTTTCATTAAGAGAGGGAGCAAGAGAGAACAAGAGAGGGAGGGAGGCTGGAATGAGTACAGTATGAAGAAAATGACCCTTCTGCTTCTTCACTTTGTGCTTCCTTGCCACAACTTTGTGTTTCTACTATTTTAATGTTGATCTTTCTTTATTGTTCCATGTGAATGTGCAAGTTTTGCCTTGCTGTTACACTGGCCAACACACATTTTTGTTGCCTCAAATGTGCTTCCTTGCCACTACTTTACCATTTTAAAGTTGATCTTTCTTTATTATTGTTTCATGTGGATTTATACATTCTTTGTTATTAATAAAGTACATTTTCTTATTTAAAAACATGTAACAAAAATGGAGGGGGGGGGTTGGAGGGCAGGAACGGATCAATGGCATTTCAATGGGAAAATTTGATTTGAAATAAGAGCCAGTCTGAGTCCCTCTACGGAGGTGGGGAAGATCAGGATATAAAAGTTTTAAATAAATTTAAATAAATATTTTGAGCTAAGAGTTTGGTCACAAAATGAATTAAACTCTTAAGTCAAGGTATCACTGTACTTTGATCTCCCCATCATCTTGATTTAAAACAAATTCAAATATTTATTTAGGGAGTGCTGAAGGGCATACACATGGTGACTTTAGCACCTCAAATTCATATAGGCAAATACAAGAAATAGCTTACACATGAAAATGTCCAGAATTATCATATTAAAGAAAATACATGTTTCTAAAGCCTTTGATGTGTCACCTTTGAAGATTTAAATGTAGAGGTGGTTTCAGACAAAGACATCTCTATTAGAAAATGAGATGACAAAGAGTATATATATCTTGACTTCTTCAAAAATAAGTGTATGCAATCACCTTGCCCCAAAGTGAAATGTGAATATATTTTATACTGTGACAAGCAGAGTGAACCAAATCAGTAAGATAATACCTACAGTACAAATATTATCCATTCTCATAGACCCTGTTCAGCACTTTTAGAATGCTAACCTGACTTATCTAGTCCTAGACACATAAAACATTTTGTAGCTTCAGCCATTTTACTTATATTGTGGGCATGATATTCTCCTTATCAGGACCTTGGGCTATTATTAAATCTGTCAGATCGCATAACTATAAGGTTGTCATGCCCAATTTGTGCTTAGGTGGGAAATTTATAAGGCAAACTTAAATGCTGCAGGAAGCATGGACACTTTGCTGCAAAGAATGCCATCTTCCGGATGAAATGCAAAGTAACATTTTCCAAATCTTTGGCAGTTAAGCTCAATTTGACCAGTTTCTTTTCATGTACCTAAACCTAAGACAAAAGGCTGGTTCCTTTCTCAGTCACATCTCTATTTCCATGACTAATTGTTTAAAGATAGGCACAACAAAAGGTAACAAACATAGTAAACTGAACAGACATCTCCTAACGGATCTTATTCTTGCTACTGTATTGTAGTTCCATTTCCAGTAAAGAGCTTATTTTATTTATTACCAGCAAAATGTAAATTATTGACAACATATGCAAAAATAGACATATATTGAGTGCAGCATGTATCTTTGTACTTTTCTTTCAAAATCTCTTTCTCTCTCTTTCTTTTTCTCTCTCTCACACACTCCACACAAATAAACACACATAAAGAGGGGCTTAAGTGCAGGATCATGAATCCTAACCACCCAAGTTCCAAGATTTGTTGATGCATCTGCTACATGCTTCCAGAGCATTACTTACTTACTTTTATGCAAGAAAAGTAATCAGAGAAATGCAATAGAGATTCGGGTGTGTTTGCTAAACCTGAATCCTATCTGGAAAGGCTTTGAAGTTTGAAATAGAAAATCAAAATGTTATCCCATTTCATAGTTGTAAAATATAATAATAAATGGAAGCATTGCCAGTTTAATTGTTATTGTACCTCATGATCTCCCACCTGATACAGGCTTATTCATCCTCATTATGGTGGATAGACTGTCTCTGACACTAGAGACAGTCTATCTAACCCAGGCATGGACAGACTTTCTAACTAGGGGGCTGCTTGGTATGCTGGAGCAGGGTAGGTGGGCTGGGGGGAGGGGTTCTCCCCAAGTCCCTTCCCTGCCCTTTGATCCCCTTCCTCTTCTCTTTGGATCCCAGAGGGGTAAGCATTGGTCAGGATGGGATGGTGGATGGGAGAGAAAAAGTGCATCCATGAGACCCTGTATTGCCTACTCGTGATATAGAATCCTAGAATCCTATAGCTGGAAGAGACCCTCAAGGGCCATCTAGTCCAACCTACCAAACAAGAAGGCACAATCAAAGCACTCCCGATAGACAGCCTCTGCAGAAAAGCCTCCAGAGAAGGAGACTCCATCACAGTCACAGACAGCCTATGCCACTCTCTATTAGCTCTTACACTTAGGAAGTTCTTAATCTTTTCAGTCGAATCTCTTTCCCTGCCATTGGAAACCATTGCTCACTTGTACACTGGTCTGTAGGGCAGCAGAAAGTCAGTTTTCCACCTCCGTCTCAATGGGACATCCTTTTACATCTTGAAACATAGATAATACAATATAATAATAATACAATATAATCATTATATATTTTATATTACATGTAATATTACTAATAATATTACAATATGATGGTATAGTACAATATAGTAATATATAATACTGATATTGTGCTATGCTAATAATATAATAAATATATTGTGTGTATGTATGTGTGTGTGTGTATATATATATATATAGAGAGAGAGAGAGAGAGAGAGAGCTGCTCTGAGTCCCATTTGGGGCGAGTAGGGTGGCATATAAATGTTGTAAATAAATAAATATGGTTCTCATGTTCCCTCTCTACCTTCTCTTCTCCCAGCTAAACATACCCTAGGAGGAAAGGAGGAAGGAAAAGGGAGGAAGGGAAGGTTGAAAGAAAGGAAGGGTGGAAGGGAATGGAGAGAGGGAAGGGAGAGAGGGAAGGGAGAAGGAAGAACAAAAGGGAAGGAGGGAAGGAGAAAGAGGGAGAGGGAGAGGAAAGGAAGGAGGGAGGAAAGAGGAAAAGAAGGAAGGAAGGAAGAGTAAAAGGGAAGGAGAAGGGAGAAAGAGGGAGGTAAGGAAAGGAGGGAGGGAGGGAAGGTGGAAGAAAACAGAGAAGGAAGAATAGGATGATGTGAGAGAGGAGTGTCTGAGAAAAGGGCCCAAGGGGCCACATCCGGCCCCCGGGCCTGGGTTTACCCATACCTGATCTAGCCACTTCATCTGCACAGCCCAAAGGTGAGTCTGTTTCTTATATTAAAAGGTTATTGACACACTGAGTCAGACATTCATCCATTTAATATAGTACTGCCTAATTTTGGAAGGAGCTTATTAATATCTGAAGCAAAGTTTTTCCTACCTTCCTAACCAACATGTTTGGCAGTGTAACTTGAAGTATTGTGGTTGCCTGCTGTAAAGGAAGAACACTAATTTCAAGTGGCAGGGGAGACCTTTTCTTTTCTATCCCACCGCTGCCACCAATGTAAAGGATGAACGAGGGTTATTACACGTGATGGCAGGGGAGACCTTACTTTTCTATCCCAACCTTGCCACCCGTGTGATAAGAGAGGAACGGTGTGTAAATGGGACAGAACACCGTCTCTATTCCCTCCTGTCAGACCCAAAGCGATTCAACACGTGTGTTGTTGTTGTAACGTGCGTGTGTAATGTTTGGTAAGCTGCCACCACCTCAATGTTATGAGGAATTGTTTGACTGGAGTTCCTGAGGTGAATTCTCCCAATACACTGCTTCTTTCTTCTGGCTCCCTATGAAATGTGACTGGACTGTAAAAGTGTATAGAATTGTCAGACCTGAGGCTATATAAGGAATCACGGCTGAGGCTAGTTAACGATGAAAATATAGAATGAGTTTATTGAAGAACATGAGATAAACAACAGACTTCTGCGAGGCACATAAGCTTAAATGGTTTCTAAAGCACTATCTTCTTCTTAAACAGTTTCTTCAAGAATT